ACAACTGTGTAAAAAATAAAGCAGAAACATAGTATTTGAGAGCTGCTGCCTTAAACATAGAACTTTAAAAGGCACACAACAGAAACTGGTTGCTTGTTTTTGCAAAATAGTGATCTATTGTGCATATGGGTTTTTTTTAAACCAAATAACATTATTTTAAAGTGCATGTGGGAATAATTAGTTTTCCAAATTAATTATTTTATGTTCCATAGATTTTAGCGTAGTCAGATTCCTCTAACAGTAAGAACAGTAGTCCAGCTATATTCTTTTTTTTCAGTCCATTTCTTCTAGTGGAGTCAGGTTCAATATTCTTCATCATAATTTAATCAACCGATTCTTTTGAAATCCTTTACACAATTTTGGCAACTTTCTGCTTTGGATGCATAAGAGTTATAGGTAGGTGAATTGAGTAGAGACGTAAGATGTTAGAGAGACTGCCCATCAGGGTATTAAGACCGTGTCTGTGCTTCTGTATCTGGCAGCTACAACCTCTCATTGAACACAAGAGAAGGCTGAGGGGGGATCTAGTGGCCGTTTACAAACTAGTCTGAGGGGACCAGCAGGCACTGGGGGGTCCCTGTTCCCCCGTGCACTACCAGGAGTGACTAGAAATAACGGTCACAAGCTGGCAGAGGGTAGATTTAGGCTAGATATCAGGAGGCGCTACTTCACAGTCAGGGTGGCTAAGATCTGGAACCAACTTCCAAGAGAAGTGGTGCTGGCTCCTACCCTGGGGGTTTTTAAGATGAACACCTTGCTGGGTGTTCCAGTACTCTTTCCTGCCATGACAGGGGGTCGGGCTTGATGATCTGCTCAGGTCCCTTCCAACCCTACCAACTATGAAACTATTATGTATTGGCAAAGAAGGAGGTAGCAAAGTGAGGCTAGATTTCTACTTTAGCTCTTGGATTTCTCTTATGGCAAGGGAAGACTTGTAGGAAAACTTTATTTCAGTAGGCATTGTTAACTTAAACATGTTCACTTATTCATGTGTTGACCAAGCTTTTGTAAACTTAGTCTACCAATTATTCCAAGGTTGGTTTGATGCAATTATACCACTATGATTAAGCCATTGATATTATTCTGTCTTAATCCTTACAGTGCCAAATACTAGATACTTTTGCGGGGTTTTTTCATTGCAGAATTTAAATGTGAAATAACATCTTGGTCAGAATACTCATCTTGTGGCCATTAGCAGAACTTCTTTTACTACCTTATATAAATCAGTGCAGATTTTAGCAAAAGCCTGTTGCATATGATGGCCTGGAAGTCTTTACTCTCATTACATTTTTGTTAGTCAATGTAGCCTACATTTTCAGTTTTGAGACCAACTGAAAAAAACAATAAATAAGTGCACAGAGCCTTTTTGATCTGTGCTAATTTTAACACACAGTGGTGTATGGAATTGGAGTGGGTATTTTGCTGGTGGGCTCTCCACATTTATGAACTTTACAGATAATTGCAGGTAGCCTGGCTTCAGTTTGGGATTTTAGTCTCATTTTTTATTAGTAAATCTCCATAATTCTTTATCAAGATGTGTCTAGATGTTAAGACTTCTTTAAATCAGATTGCATCCTGTTTCTGTTATATTTTCGCAGATGTAGTATGTTTAGTTGTAGCATGTTAGGTTTGATCACAGAGCAGAAACTAGTCTTACTGTAGTATAACATGGGTGAATTTTTGTTTTTAAAAGTTTTGAGACTTGTGGGTACTTCATATGCAGAGCAAAATGTACTCATGTTTACCTCTGTAAATACCTATGGTATGTCCTTCTCCAAAAGATACGTCACTGTTGCTGATCCTGAACACTTAGAAACCATGAGACTGGCTTAAAGTCACGGGAGCGAAAAATTGCCTTATATTGAGATCTGAGCCTTTTAGACAGCTTTCTGCTCCCAAATCTGTGTTGCAAACTGTAGCCCAGGGGTTGGCAGCGTTTTTGGGCAGAGTGCCAAAAACACCTGCAACCTGAACTTGTAAGATGTTAGTGTGCCAGGGCTGGACAGCAGGGGAGCCATAAGGTGCCTGATCCTTGTTGGAGCAGTGCAGCCCTGGCCCCTTTCCTGTAATCCACCCCAAGGTGCATGTCCCAAGCAAATTGCTTCTGAGTGCCACACTCTGGCACCTGTGCTAGGGTTACCTACCCCTGCTGTAGCCTTATTCACACTTCATAGAAAGGCAACCCATTTTAAGCTTGTATTTCGAACTGTTTGATCAGATATTTCAGTGACTCATTTCCTCAGTGGAAACTAGTGTTGGGAACTCTGCTTATATGCTGTAATGAAACTGTGAAATAACTAGACAGAATTTTTTTAGCACCTTTTGAAGCCTTTTACATGTGGAAGCTAAAATATAGAAAACATGACCTCCGTGGACCACTCTAGAGAATTAGAGTGAACCATAGTTGTACTTAACATTAAACTACCTTTTACCCTGATGTTCATTTATAATATGTTTCAGTTTCAAAATGAGCTTTAGAATCTTCTTCCCTCTCCCCATCCTCCTTTGGGAAGTTTGGTCATTGATCATAGGGTCTGAATGAAGAAATTGCTGGACAATATTTTCTACCTTTTTAAAAAGCCATTGGGTAACTTCACAAACTTCTGCCAGGTGATTTTATTTTTGTTCTTTTAGCCAGACTCCCCCTCTCCCTCCCCTCTTAAATTACTAGATCTGACTCTCAGAATATTCTGCAACAAAGTGCAGTTTGCTGATTTTTAATATAATGCACAGCCAAGAGTAGACACTCCTTAGGATGTGGTGCACTTAAACTCTAATCTGTGCCTAAAAAGTGTGTGAATCTCATAAACCAGAGAGTTTTGACTTGTAAAATATTTACAGTGCCAGCACATCCTTCGTAGTTATAAGCACCCACAGCCACTTATTACGACCCATGCAAATAATTACGACATCATAGGGATAATGGAGACCTGGTG